CAGGAGTGCGCTGAAAGCATCTATGATTCAAATGACAGTAATAATCCTCTGGAACATCATCTGGATCCACTGAATTTTAACATGTTCCACGCTCTGTATAACACCCCCAACCTCAATCTGATTCCTGTTCCTCGTGCTCCTGGGTTTCGATGCTGCAGTTTTATCCAAAAACTGAACTGAGGCAACAGCCAGCAGGTGGAGATCTCACAGTTCATTTCTGTGGTTTCCCGGCACTTAAAACAGCGGAGCAGCAGGCAGTAGGTGCGACAACTCTTTTCTGCACTTTTCGGAACATTAAAACTTTTCCCTCTTTGCTGTTTTAGCAAGAAGCGGTCTGAACTGTATAAGCAGGAATTGTCAGAACGACTTGTCTCCCTGAACGACAGTCACTGTCCAAGAGGGCAGGTAGGTTTCTGGTCACAAGATCACTTCCTCTTGTTAATAATACTTAGACCATAAAACCATAAGATGTAGGAGCAGGAGTTTTGCCCCTCGAGCCTGCCCCGCCCTTTAATAAGATCATGGCTGATCTTCTAACCTAATTCCATTTACCCGCCCTATCCCCGTATCCCTTAATCCCTCTATCCTTTAGAAATCTATCAACCTCAGTCTTGAAGATGTTCAAGGACTGAGCAACCACAGCCTTCTGGGGAAGAGAATTCCACAAATTCACTACCCTCTGAGTGAACAATTTCTGATTATTATCCAGTCATTTATGCTGAAAAATGGGTGTGTTGAGGTCATGAATGGCTTTCGGTTGCTGTGCCCCCATTGCAGTTGAATATTCTGGTTCATTCACCCCCCGACCGTACACATGAGGATTGGATCCTTGGCTGAGGTACCAAAGGGTGCCCGATGGCAGCTCAGAAGCTTGGCAGCAGGAAATTGGCACAAACAGTTAAGAAATAAAAACGACAACCATAGAACATTTTGCCTACAATCCTTGTTTTTTTTTTGAAAAACAAGAGCCAAACAAAGCTGTTGTGAGACTTTGATGTAACGAAGAGCTATGTGCAAAACAGCCCCAGAACAAACTCCAGGAAGTAAAACATTGACTTGTTTACTGTTTATGGTAATTTCTCCTGCTTTTAAATAAAGAATAATGGTTACTGGGAGTGATTACCAGGCAGTAATCGAATCGCGGATTCAGATGGTTCTGAGAGCAGAACTCGAGTGGATTGTAATTATGAGCTGTGAGATTTGAGTCGAGTCCTGAAATCACTCCCTGGTATCGGGCGTTATTTATAATCTGCAGTGCTGAGGTTTCATGTGGGTGTTTGGCTCTGGGTTTGGGACCAGCAGCAGCTGTAGGTGTGAGCCACATGGCTTGGGGAGCAGACACCAGATAATTAATGGTCATGATGTATCCTGAACAAAGCTGCAGCTGAGAATGGGCAATTCAACATCTAACCAGAAATGCATCTTTCGGAGTAAGTTACAAGGATTCTGTTCTTATCGAGGGTTTGGATGGTTTACATGAAAAAGACCATCTGACCTCGGAGTGCCAGATGGGGCAGTTAAAAGGGAACTTGACTCTACTCATGCTTTCTCTGACCTGAGGGCTGGATGGGACCGTGTAGAAGGAGCTGTATCTACTGCGTGATGATAAATCTGAGTCCTTCACACCTGACTGAAAGTAAAAGAAGGTGGGATGGGAGTGGGGGAGAGGGTTATGATAACTTCTGAAGCTTATTTTGCTGCTGCTGAAAGAGGTTGTAAAGTTTAACAAATGACTGCATCAGGAGACACAGGAGTTGGTGAAAAGTTTATAGGAATTTAAAATGCACTGTTCACACTATTTTGTCCTGACCAACAATCCATCAGATATAATTGGTCATTCACATCATGGCTGTTTGTGGGACATTGCTGTGATCTAGTTGGTTGCTGCGTTTGCCTATGGATACAGTCACTACTGTACAGTAATTCCTGTGAATAAAGCGCTTTGAGACATCTTGGCGATGTGATAAGGTGGTGCTATATCGAATGCAATTGCGTATTATTATTACATTCAGAAAGTCCATTCACAAAGTGGAGTTCAGTCCAACGCTGGGACGTTGCTGCCCAGCTCGTGTCCCTGTGGTGGATTAAGGGGCGGAATGTTAAAGTCCTATGGGAAGCACTTGCACAGCCTCTTGGACAAAGCTGGGGAATTAAGACATGAGGAACTCGGGAAAGACTAAAGAACTGGCCCTCTGTAAACAAAACTAGCATGTTTTTGATAAACTTTAACATACTGTGACAGCAGGTCAAGCTAATTACAGCCATGGTGTACGTATTGCATTCAGCCTATTAACTGCATTCTCCAATGATTTATTTCTGTGTTTTAATAAAATCCAAGAAAATACCTCACCTGCAGTTAGAACTAACTAGGAAACATCTATTTGTACTTTTCAAGCAGTCTGGGTGGGGGGTTCCTATGCAAATATCAGTTGAAATCTATTGATCAGTGATTAATGCCACTGTATCTTGTGTAGAAGTTCATGCCAGCACTCAGCTCCAAGCCTACCCCAATGATGCTCATCTTCAGAACATATAATAAGAAATCCCTTTATACATAATCCACCCACAAAATACACAGCCAGTCCTCCGACTCCCTGTTCCTCTCAATCGCACACCCTACATATTTGACCGTACATTTGGTCATCTTTCCTGTCGCACCCACTTGGCTCCCATCCCCGGCTCGGGTGCTCAAGCAGTTCTGTTAAGCATTTTGGGATGTCCTCCTGACATGAAAAGCCCTATGTAAATTGGTATTGTATTGTGTGCAGTTTTGGGTGCTATAGTAAAGAAAGGATAATAGATATGGAGAGGGTGCAGTACAAATTCACAAGAATGAATCTTCAGGTGAGAAGATGCAGCTGTGGAAGGCTGGAGAGATTAGCACATTTTCCATGAGAGCAGGTTGAGGGATAAGGGATGTTTAACACAATGAAAGGGTTTGAGTGGATAAGCAGTGAGAAACTAATTGGGTTGGTAGAAGATTGAGGACAAGAGGGTGTGAATTTGTTTGATTATAACTCAGGGAGTGAAAGGGGAAATTAGGAAGAATTATTTTCTCCCAGATCAGAGGGGTATCAGAATAAGAAATGATTTGCTGGGGTTGCTGTGGAGCAACGTAATTTGGGGGGAATTTAAAACAAAATGAGATAACTGCATGCTGAGGAAGAATATTAGAAGACATAGGAAAAAAGCAGGGAACTGGGATAGACAGAGGGTTCTATTGGAGGGACAAGCCTTGTAATCCTATAGAGATTTGTCTCATCACTGTAAACAAAACACTGAACATTCGGGCCATTGTAACGTGGTGTCAGCACCTCTGGTCAATGGTCACTATGGTCAATGCAGATTATCCCTACTGCAGTAATAGCCTTGGAAATTCCCCTCAATTCGCATCTGGAATAAATCCCAGATTTCTCGCTGCCTATGAATTTCCTCTCTGGTTATTTTCCTAGTTGTCAAATAAGTTGGGAAGAACTCCGGACACAGAGAGTAGGCACTTCTCGGTGTTTTTCCGATATGAACAGTCTCCGATGGCACTTAGACATTTTGTTTTATTCTCAGCTTCTTTTTCATGGAAGCGAGCAGCATCACTGCAACGAGGCACAGTGTAATATCAAAGTGATGGATCTTGTTCAGCAAGTGGGAAATCAAAATCTGCCCACCAGCGCTGCTCAAGACAGAACAGCTTAGCTGCTTGCTCTAATGTTTAAATTAATGTTTCATTATGTTTTTTATTTTCTACTTGAGATTTCCAAATAAGCTTCAACATCTGTCTGAAACACTGTCCCATCAGGTGTCGCAATTCTCTCTCTCTCAAGCCCACGACAAGCTGGTTGGATGATTAACAGTGTGATGTGCGTGATATGAATTTGCAGAGATGAGTGCGATTTTGTTAGTTGCTCAGGGCCTCCTGGACGCCATTGTTTCACTCGCACTTTATTTCTAGATGTTGATCAGGAGCGGGAATCCTGGCCTGTTTTTCCACTTCTTAACCCAGGGTTACGGAAGTCAATTGTAGCCCAAGTGTTGTGAGATGAGGTCATGGACTGAAGCTGGAATGTCTTGATCTGCACAGCTCAGTTGACTAGTTGGGTGCGTTTTTTCAACGGTGTCATGAGGAAACCCAGCTCAGCATCACTTTGACCAGCAACCACTGGCATGGTGAGCGTAACAAACAACCTTTTTTTAAAATTAATCTCTTTGGTATTTTTGGATGCTTTGATTTGAACAATGAGCCCTGAGGAGTGTGTGTGTGTTTGTCTATGTATGTGTGTGGTGTGTGTGTGTGGTGTGTGTGTGTCTATGTATGTGCGTGTGGTGTCTGTGTATGTGTGTCTATGTATGTGTGTGTGGTGTGTGTGTGGTGTCTGTGTGTGGGTGGGTTGCACAGATGCTGCCAGTCGGGACCTCACTCGTGTGGCTGTTCTTCAAGTATGAAGATGGACTGTCAGTGTCAGCAAGCGCCCAATCCATGGTCTATAGCCTGCTGATACTAACAGTCCAGGAATAGGCATTTAGTAAGATACCAGGCCAACAATTTTAGGAGAAAACATTATTATTCAGGTTCATAATCAGATCCAGGATGAAATTGTTTTACATGAGGCCACATGATGTTATACCCTCACCCGGAGGGTGTATCACAAAGAATATTCCAAAATAACACAACAAAAACATAGCTAGCGTGATAGTTAATTACCAAAACCGACCTTGCCTGCTCCTTGGAACCACTGCATGCTCCCAATAAGTTGATAGGCCTCTGAAAGAGACGCACACTACCCAAGAAGAGGACAGTTTTGATGTTGGTCGAACAATGCCACCTACGCACTGGATTGGCTCCAACACTGGTTACATATTGGCAGAGTTTCTGGATGCTGATAGTTAATAAGGCTTATTGGAAACCAATATGGTTTCCGGATTCAGGAGACCTCTGATGGACGCAAACACATGTTGCCTTCAGCTCGTTCCCTGCTATAAAGAAGCACATTCATTGCTCATTATAACAGACATTGTGTAGGACACTCGAGAGAACAGCTCTGATACCTTCCACTACTGTCAGTTCAGAATTCTGTGGTTTCAGTGAGATAACACCAGGAGGTGTGTGGTATGCTGAGTATAAAATAGCTTTATTGTGGTTTTGCTGGAGGATCTCAGCGTGCTCTGAACGAAGACGAGGGCTTACTGGAGTTCTTGAAAGTGTCTTGCTTCCCGTTTCTTGGCGTGGGGCCTGAGTTCACTGTGTGAATGCTGTGCAAGGCGTTTGGCTGCTGAGAGGCAATAAAGCAAGTTGCGTTGAATTGTGCGGGAGAGTACATTTCGTGCTTGGGAACAATTCACAGCGAGAGAGCTGAAACAAGAGAAAGAACAGGAAAGAAAATAGAATGGGATGATGTAAACACTTGTCAGGTCACTGCAAGTCAGCACTTTCTTTTCCCTCACCACCACTCCAGTGCTTGGGACAATCAAATACAAGTTAAAGATCCGAAAGGAATATCTCCTTATTCCCCATCGACAATCCTCCAGATAAATTGATTATTGATTGCAGCTATTTATGGGAAATCACTGCGCCCTAATTTGGCTGCTGCATTCACCTACAAATACACAGCCTTTTACAGAAACTTTGAAGCATTTTGAGACATTTACGTTTCACACCTATATTCAATTTAAGGATTATTATTATTTATCATAACCCTCCCTCTGCTCCCTTTGTTTCCAAAGGTCTGGATATGGCACTGGACAATTTCCAGGACATAGTTAAAGTGGCCATTCTTCATGTGTGGACCCAGATAGTGAGTGTTGACAGGATATTCAACTGCAGGGAGTTGTAGTGAACCCAATCCTGTCCTTACCCCATATCCTCACCACATCCACACACATGCCTTCCACTGGGAGGATGTCACTGGATATCGACTGGAAGCAGGAACCCTGGCTGATGTTTCCTTTTTTAATTGAGGAGGCATAAGGCCAATCGTAGCCCTGACTGATGCCCTCGCTGAGCTCAGCTAACTCACCAAAGCGACATTTCAAAGCTGAAACGTTCCCTGTTTGTCTAGCTCAGACTCACAACACGCAGTGCTTCTATCAACTGAGCCAGTGGAGTTCAAGTGACCATTTTATCATTCTTCGAGCAGTACCCTTTGTCAGGGAGAAGAGCTTTGTGGTTGTTTTTTGCAGTACACAATCTTTTGTTTCTGTTACACCAGATGATACCACAATATGCTGGAACTGGGGACAAGTGGAACAGGAACAGATGTCTCTCCAATTGGACCCTGGGGGTGCTGAGAGCATGGAACAACTTAAAGGAGAAATAGTTTTGGGTAATAACAGGCAAGCTGCACACTTCCTGTACAGTGATGCTCACTTCAGTGACTGGGTCTGCACAGAGTTGCACTCAGGGGTGTAAGCAAACACCCCCCACCCACACACAGTGTGCTGAAGGTCAGAGCTGCTCAGAATGAGACTGGTGACTGGTGCTCACCTGGGGGAGGGAGGCGGGCAGCTGTTTATTCCAGGGATGAGGGTGGTGGTGGTGGTATTTATTTCGGGGCCGAGGTTATTGTTTACCCCGGGGGTCGGCTGCTGTTTACCCTGCGATTGGGCAGTTATATCTGCCCACGGAAAGTGTCCCCCCAGGTACAGTGTGTGTGTATTTCACTGTACTTGCTCTGACACTGATATTCACTATCCTCTATCCTTTTGAACTGTGGAAGCGATTACCTTCTTTAACCATCAGCCGGTGAGCAGTTTAACTGAATTCAGACGATACAGAGTGTGCATTTCCTTGCATTCTGCCTGCGCTGCAGGTGTGGCTGTGTGGCTCCACAGCAATAAATATTTAATTCCTTTTGTAATGTAAGTGCAGCCTCAGCACAAGCTACTGGTGGGGTGGCGAGGTCATGTGATAAAGGAAAAGCAACACACTCAATTTGGGTGATGTGGAACAGCATGGGGGGGTGGGGGGGGAAGAGCGCGAGGGGAGGGGTGTCAGTAAAACTGAACCAGGCGTTAGTAGTGGTAGCAGTGACCCCCACAAAATGCTCGTGCCATCCACAGAACGCAATGTTTGCTTCAATTTAACAATGACCAAATCACACACCTCTGAGCAACAACAGTCATGTCCTTGATGAATCAGTACCCCTAATCCTGTCCCCACTGATTCCCACATCCCCATCTACACTAGCCAGTGACCGCACTCCTCTTACACCCAACGTGTGGAAGATGTTCCTGTCAGTCAGTCCAGTGAATCTGTGCACCATTCCCGAGATCCCCCTCAGTTACAGACCGCAGACACACAAATTGCCCCTGGTATTTTGCTGGTACGAGGCTTACATGCACTTACTTTTACAACTCGTAAGCTTCCATGAGATAATCCTTTGGGACAATACCAACGACACCTTTCAGCTCTCCAACCCACCAACCGTACGAATTGTATTCCTGAAAAGAAGGAGAAAGGAATTAAATGACATTGTACCTTTTCCTCTCTGTTAAACCAGTTCTATGTTATCCATCTTCTCCTGATGGTGATGATTAATGCTGGGTCCAGGTCCATGGCTCTCTCTTGTACCTCATTCTAATTAAGCCTTGGGTAGTCTCGTGGAGTCCTGTAGCTCAGTGGTTAGAGCACTTGCCACAAGCAAGCGAGAGGACCTGTGTTCAATTCTTGGGCAGGGCGAAATATTGGGCAAGTTTCCTTACTCCACACACGCGCCTCTTCACCCAGCAGTTAGTAGGAACCCGGTTGTTAGTCGATTAGCGAATTGCTTTTCCCTGGGGTAAAAATCCCTTAAAAAAAGTAACAATTTGGTCACTCAATCCATGACTGTTTGCGGGACACTGCTGTGCGCGGTGTTTGGCTGCTGGGTTTCGCCCTCAAAATATACAGTCAATTCACTTTACATGAAGCGTTTTGAGACGTTTTGAAAACTTGATAAGGTGCTGTATCAAATGCAAGGATTATTATTACTACTACTATTATTACTATAAAGCTATGCTTGGCTTAGTTTGTACTTGTCCAGGAGTGACTTTTTACTGCATTTTGTGAACCCAAAGTGGTAGAGTCACTCAGTTTGAAAGTCAGATTTGAATATAAATTATTAACATTGCGCTAAGCTATTCCCTGTTGCAAACTAAGAAGTGTCTGAGAAATTATTTGCCGTTCTTGCCTGGTTATTGCTGATGTAATTTCAAGTCAGCTAATTACATAAATGCCTCCGACAATCGTTAAGTAAAAAGGGAACAAAAGACAGATTGGAACACATGCAGACCATACAACCCAACGCCCTCGCCTCTCCATCACTGCTCCACACTGTGCCAAACAGCAGCAAAGTGAAGCACCATAAAACCCCCTAAAGCTCCCATTTCTAAAACCTTTAACAGTGCCCACATTAAACCGTGCAGATGTTTTCTAATTATCCTAAATTTGCAATAAACTGATCCAGGTTTGGAATCCTGATCAGCCAGACCTCTGGCTGCTGGGACTTTGATTAAACACCTCTCTGTGAAGCACACCGAGCATAACAGTCTCTCTCTGGTGATGGTGTACACATCAAAACCTCTTCCAGCTTTGCCTCCCTGTTTCCCAGCTTTGTAGTAACAGTCAGAAGGGGAATTGGCACCACGCACTCACCATATTACGGAATGAATTGCACTATTAGGGCCTCGATACTGAATGAATAACAAGTGGCTAGTGAATGCTATCAAACACACTTTGTGCTTGAGCGACACATTGTTAAGTGACTATATCCAGGTACTCCTCGGTGGCCTGGCCTCTTAGCCTGCTGCCAGCACTGAATGGGTAATATTTTTGCTGACGCCTATTTAAAGGCTGTTAGATTTTGCCATCAAGTCTGTGCTATAAGCTGGTTATAAGGAGCTTGCCAGTGCAAGAGGCACCATCCATCAAACTTAAACCAGCAAAACCACCTCACGTTTGATACATAGAAAAAAAGCCCAATGAATCAAACAACCTCTGGATTATGATTGCTTATTGCTGTTATTACTGCTTACTAATAACGTAATCATATTTTACATCAGCCACAACGGCACTCGGTGACGTGACCTGTGCTGTAAAGCATGGAGCCTGCAATAACATTTTGGTAATGTGGCTGCAATAATAGATTAGCATTTCGCAATGAGGCACCTTCCATTCATTTATGCCTCTGCAGTGTGAGAATCAATCCCACGCTCTCACACCTTCTCAGATCAGACTTTGGGACATGAAAGGCACTATATAAATGTAAATTGTATTATATTTGCCTGTGATGATACCTTGCGGAAAAAAAAGGGCTGGAATGGAGAACGACACCTGATTCTGTGTCTCGATCTCTGGAGAAGGTAAATGTGGGGCCAGGTGATGTGAAGGCTGGATTTCTGGTTCGTGTAAAGGGAGAGGTGAAACCTGAATAGTCCACGATTGAGAAACAATGGCGGGGAGGGGGTGGAGTGTGGGAGACAGACACTTTAACTGTGA